ACAAGGAGGTATGCGAATAGTGTGACGTTACAGACAAAGAAAGCAATATTGTGCGAGAGAGACAAAGAACATCTTCCGATATATTGAGAATTCCATAAAAAGAAAAATCATTAATTACTCATTTTCTACTTAAAATTCCAATGCTTTTAAGCTTGCATCTTAAAACTAAAACTTCAAACAAGTTTCCTATATTAATTTTGATACGAAAATCTTTTCCATTAATTATTTATTAACGATTAATGTATCATAATTTTATATCGATACATCGAAAATAATAATCATTAATAAATAATTAATGGATAAAAATTTCGTATTAAAAATGATACAAGAAACTTGTTTGAAGCTTTAGCTTGAAGATACAAGCATAAAAGTGCAGAAATTTTGCGTAGAAAATGAATAATTAATTAATTTTCAATATGGCGTCTTCGATGTATCGATGTAATATTATGATATGTTAATCGTTAATAAATAATTAATGGAAAAGATTTTCGTACTAAAATTGATACAGGAAACTTGTTTGAAACTCTAGCTTTAAGTTTCAAGCTTAAAAGTGTGGAAATTTTGCGTAGAAAATGAATAATTAATTAATTTTCAATATGGCGTTTTCGATGTATCGATATGATATTATGATATATTAATCGTTAATAAATAATTAATGGAATAGATTTTCATAATAAAATTGATATGAGAAACTTGTTTGAAGCTCTAGCTTGAAGATATAAGCATAAAAGTGTGGAAATTTTGCGTAGAAAACGAATTAATTAATTAATTTTCAATATGGCGTTTTCGGTGTATCGATGTAATATTATGATACATTAATCGTTAATAAATAATTAATGGAAAAGATTTTCGTACTAAAATTGATACAGGAAACTTGTTTGAAGCTCTAGCTTGAAGATATAAGCATAAAAGTGTGAAAATTTTGCGTAGAAAATGAATAATTAATTAATTTTCAATATGGCGTTTTCGATGTATCGATATAATATTATGATATATTAATCGTTAATAAATAATTAATGGAATAGATTTTCATAATAAAATTGATATGAGAAACTTGTTTGAAGTTCTAGCTTGAAGATACAAGCATAAAAGTGTGGAAATTTTGCGTAGAAAACAAATTAATTAATTAATTTTCAATATGGCGTTTTCGGTGTATCGATGTAATATTATGATACATTAATCGTTAATAAATAATTAATGGAAAAGATTTTCGTACTAAAATTGATACAGGAAACTTGTTTGAAACTCTAGCTTTAAGTTTCAAGCTTAAAAGTGTAGAAATTTTGCGTAGAAAACGAATAATTAATTAATTTTCAATATGGCGTCTTCGATGTAATATTATGATACATTAATCGTTAATAAATAATTAATGGAAAAGATTTTCGTACTAAAATTGATACAGGAAACTTGTTTGAAACTCTAGCTTTAAGTTTCAAGCTTAAAAGTGTAGAAATTTTGCGTAGAAAACGAATAATTAATTAATTTTCAATATGGCGTCTTCGATGTAATATTATGATACATTAATCGTTAATAAATAATTAATGGAAAAGATTTTCGTACTAAAATTGATACAGGAAACTTGTTTGAAGTTCTAGCTTAAAGATACAAGCTTAAAAATGTAAAAATTTTGCGTAGAAAACGAGTAATTAATGTTTTTTCTATGATTTTTTTTATAATGTTCCTAAAGTATCGGAAGATGTTCTTTGTCCCTCTCGCACAATATTGCTTTCTTTGTCTATGACGTCACACTATTCGCATACCTCCTTGCACATTCTGCTATGCTAGTAACAAGTCGGAGCTTCGGTGATCCAAACGCGAGATGGCGCTGATGTTAAAAACTTTTTATTCGCTGTTTCTTTATCGACAGTTAATATTTTATTAACTATTAGAATAGAAAAAAAAATGCATTTGATTAATTATGAAAGACATATTATGTAAGAATATAAAGAATATAAAGATGAATAATATAAAAAGAAGCAATATTTAATACATTTGTAATTTATATATAATGAAAGGTATATAAAAATTTATAAATGCGATTTATAGGAAAAAAATTTATGTATATAAAAATACAAGATAAGATAAGATAGAATAAAATAATTTAAATAAATGTGAACGTGTTTTTTTTATGGTATTTTAGAGATGGTGTTTATTTCATATTTTTATGCTTTATCCTGTAATTATTTGTCTGCACTTGCTTTCGGCGCCTGATTATAGATGATCTATAGAATTGACCACATTTTTATCATTTCACGTTTAAAATTTCATGTAATTTTTAATTACATTTTTTAAATGTAAAAAATTTTTTATATTATATTTTTAAAAAGTCGATATCGAAAGAAATATATATAGCCTGATGTTCAATGCGAAAACAGACAATTATTTATAACTGTATATTGAAATTTAATTTTATTTCCAATTTTAAAATTTTAATATTGCAATCTTAAAACTGAATCGGTAACGTTGAAAATGGGATCTTAGTATCTCCGACATACGAAACCAGAAAAATTTATTGAATTATTAGGTCTATTTTGTATCTCCTCTATGCCTATGGAGAAGTTCAACTTCTATTGATTGACCTGGATCTTCAGGATATATTTCAAAATGCTATTATTTGATTTTATATATTGCAATTATTGACTGATTTGTGATAACCATTCTGCTTGGTTAAATATAATTTTTTTTTAATTTAAACAGATTTATATAGGTCATTAAAAAAATAAGAAAAAATAAGATTTTAGATTTTCAAGAATTTTTTTCTTTTTTATTCATCTTCGAATCTTTCTTGTACAGCAATGGTGACAATATTTTTAATTTTTTCCGCGACATTTATCATGATATCCTCCTAGTTCACATTCTAATCAAATACCGAATTATATGAGCAATTATTAAAGTGTTTAGTCCAGATTATTCATTAACATAATATAATATTAAAATTCTTTTCATAATATAATATTAAAAAATTTTTACATACATTTAGTAGAATACAGAAATACAGAAGAATTATGTCGAGTCTAAGAGCATATATATATATANAAATTTCGAATTCTTAAAGTATACATTATAAATGAATTAATCTGCGACTAATACACAAAATAGGATTTTAATCTCATTTTCGGCAAGCAATAAAACGCGTGGATTTAAATAGCATGAAATATATTATATTCAACAAATTTGCATTGTTAATGAAAAATTTATGAAAAAATATCGTTTTAATCTTAGAAAGCATTTCTCTTAAAATTTGAATAAAGAAATTTAAATTTCTATTATTTTTAACATTTATCAAATATATCTATATAAACTATTTTTATTCATAATTTGTTGTTGTGCGGATCTAACTTTATAAAAATATTCAGTTTTAAATCACGCGTCAAATCCACTTAATTCTCTCTCTGCTTTATAAGTACACATTCCTAAATCAAACAATGAAAAGTAATTGTACCACGCTTCGCAAGAATAATACATTTTTTTTTTTTTTTTACCATATAGTTATTATTAATAATCCTTATTCATCTGAACTTCAGAGTTACAATCTTCAATGCCCCTAAATCAACAGATTTCGAATCAAACCATACGAATTCCATTTTTTTTTTTTTTTTTTTCCCCCCTAAAAATCATTTGATTCTCAACAATTCGATAGAGCAACATATTTATATCCTCGCAAATTCTAAACACGTATTCTCACGATACTCGAAACCGCATTTCGTTTCTGTTAAATCAATAACATAGACGCAACAGTTTACTAAAGACTCTTATTGATTGAACAAAACGAACATTGTTAACTATACCATTTGATTATTATTCCTCCATAAAATTTTCTACCGTTTCAAAATTTTCTAAATACAAATATGACGGGTCTATTATACGTGATGTACAGTGGCCTATCGTTCCAGCGTTCGAAGATCAGAAAGAAAGAATAGACCTTATAGATTTAATCTTCAGGCTTCCATTTTTATAATTATGTTATTTGGACAAGTTTTCAAACGATAACTCCTTGTTGAGCGAGCAATTTCTTCCTCTGGTGAAGACTCGGTGATTCACCTTCCATCTCCGAGATAGCCTTAACACCGTCGAACGACTTCGAGGTCTTTAAATTATTCAGAGCTTTCAAACAGTTGTTGGTAGTCATTTCTAAAGACTTGGAGCTTTTCAACGACGCATTCGCCAGTTTCTTTATAGTCTCTGAAATAGGACACTTAATGAAATCGCTCCTCTCCCTTTCCTTCTCTTTAATCCTCTGATTGTTCTCCACCGTCAACAGAGGATCCCCCTTCGTTTCGACTTCCTCCTCGCTCACCTCCTCTTCCTCCACCTCCATGCCCTCCGTCTCTTTGGAATCTTCGCTTTTCGCTTTCTCACTTCCCTCCAAGATCTTCGATCCCCTGAAGGCGTCCCGACGCGTCTCGCCCTCGTCACGCGACTCGTTGTTGTCCCCGCTCTCCTCCTCCTCCTCCTCCTTCCTCGGGTCGTCTTGGCCCAACAATGATTTCGGCGGCGCCTCGACGTAACCGCTCTCGTCGCTGTCCACTTCCTCGTCCAGGGAGTCCAACGTTAGAAACGGGGTCTCGTCGTTTTGCAACAGGTCGTGATGGTTCATTCGACCGGGATATTTCTCCATCACTCGTCTCTCCCTGTCCTGAGGATCCTCCAGCCTGCGCAGTATCTCTCCCCTCGGCCTGTAATCGACCACGTCGTCGAAATCCTCGACATCCTCGAAATCGAACACGTGGGATGCCGGATCCTCTATCTCCTCGTCCTCCTCCTCCATCGATTCTTCCTCATCGTTCCGGGGCGAGAACCTTTCCCGGCTCCCGTGGTGGACGACCACGTTTCGACGATGGAAACGGGGACTCCCGGCGCAGGTCATGAAGTTTGGGGAACCTTCCGAGTTTCTTCGAGGGCCGGGGCCCCTCGTCACCGTCTCGTTCATCGGGAACATCACTCTTCTGTCCGTTTGCTGCTCCGTTCCATCCCCTGCAACGCATCCCCGTGTTACTTAACAAGACAGGGAAATGGGAAGGGACGAAGAGAGAAGACGGGGCAAATATAATAAATATAATTACTTAAACGAAGTACGTTACGATTCGATGAAAATAACGACCTGTAGCATGATGATCCTCCAATCCGGCGGGCGCCCTCTCCTCGCTCGTGGCCGTGCTCGCTGTCTCGCATCCGCTCGAGATACTTCCGTTCTCGTCGGACGACTCGCGGTTCAAAGCGTCGAGGAGCCGCGCGAGCCTCCAGCTATCCTGATCCTGCCAACTTCGCGCCACGTTCTCCAACGTTCTCAACTCGTCAAGGATCCTTTGTTGCTCTATCTCCTCGGCGACTATGTCCTCCTCGATGGCGGACAGTTTCGGCGCGCTTTTCGACCTCTCGAGGGGGGGTCGGTAATTCTGACCGCCCGTGCTCAGAAGCAGCTTTCGCCGCGGCAACGAAGGGTTCTCGTACAGAGCGTTTGCTAGCGACAACCTGCGGAAATTCGAACGGTGGTTAAAGCACGAAATGCATGTATGCAGGGGTATATAACGTAACAGTTTAACAGGAGGAAGGAGGAGGTGGCACGATCCGTGAGTTTCGCGCGAGCGCTCGTTCGATCGACCCGGATCGTGACTCGATCGTGATCTACGAACGAAGCGCGACCCAAATTGCCACGCTCGCCGAGAGAGGTCACGGCCTTACGGTAGCTCTTGTTCGCTCGCTTCGAGGAAGGTGCACGCGATTTCCCCGTTATCGAATTCGTGCGGGAATCCGCTTATCTTCCGTTCTCTTCTTTGGCAAAATGAAATCAAATCGACGTTTCAGGGATCATTTTCGTTCCTCTTGAACAATTTATAAATTAAATTTCCATGAGAATATATATATTATTCCAGGATGTTAAATTTGAAAATATTCCTTTCTCACTTACTTGCTTAATTTTAACGCGTTAACATTTCGTGGAAATTATTGGACACACGTGTGTACACGTGGAAGGAAGAAATATAACGAGACTCGTTGAAACGCTAATGGGACACTAACCAGGTTAAAACGACACAATTAGCAGCGGGTAATTTCCTTCGTCACTGTTGCATTATCACCCGTGATATTTTCACTTGAAAAAAAAAATGAGAAAATTTCGTTCTCGAAATTTGAAACTTTGGAATTGATTGCAAATGAACAAATTGCAATAGAAATCTTTTACTATTGTGTTTCATATTTTTTGATAATTGCTGGAAAGAAATTTGAAACTTTGGAATTGATTGCAATTAAACAAATTGCAATAGAAATCTTTTACCACTGTGTTTCATATTTTTAGATAATTGCTGGAAAGAAATTTGAAACTTTGGAATTGATTGCAATTAAACAAATTGCAATAGAAATCTTTTACCACTGTGTTTCATATTTTTTGATATTTGCTAGAAAAAATTTTTGAAGTTTAGAATTAATTATAATTGGATAAAATATAATGGAAATCTTTTACCATTGTGTTTCACATTTTTTGATAACTGCTGGAAAGAAATTTGAAACATTGGAATTGATTGCAATTAAACAAATTGCAATGGAAATCTTTTACCACTGTGTTTCATATTTTTTGATAATTGCTGGAAAGAAATTTGAAACTTTGGAATTGATTGCAATTAAACAAATTGCAATGGAAATCTTTTACCACTGTGTTTCATATTTTTTGATCATTGCTAGAAAGAAATTTTGAAGTTTAGAATTAATTATAATTGGATAAAATATAATGGAAATCTTTTACTGTGTTTCATATTTTTTGATAATTGCTGGAAAGAAATTTGAAACTTTGGAATTGATTGCAATTAAACAAATTGCAAGAAATCTTTTATCACTGTGTTTCATATTTTTTGATAATTGCTGGAAAGAAATTTGAAACTTTGGAATTGATTGCAATTAAACAAATTGCAAGAAATCTTTTATCACTGTGTTTCATATTTTTTGATCATTGCTGGAAAGAAATTTGAAACTTTGGAATTGATTGCAAATAACAATGGAAATCTTTTACCACTGTATTTCATATTTTTTGTTAATTGCTGGAAAGAAATTTGAAACTTTGGAATTGATTGCAATTGAACAAATTGCAATGGAAA